CATAGGGGCGTCTTTACATCTGTGGGTAAGGCCATCTAGAAACCTTTGTCGATACACCACAGTTCACTGACAGCCTGGAGAGAGCTTCGCTGCTCCTGACTGGAAACCTCCCTGTGGTCTGTGAATGCTCAAACATTGATATTTTTTTTCCAGACAAAACAAATATTTTCCATAGTCGGGTTGACATCTTTTTGAAATGCTAAGAAAAGCTACTTCTTGGAATTCACTTCTTTTTAGCTCTCTGTTCGGTTGATAAGAATGCCCTCCCTGTGAACTCTGACAGGTTCCAACTGAATTTGTCAGCAGGGAGATGGATTATCTGTGTGCTCCCCCTGTGTTATTATAATTCAATAACATACACTATTTTCCTTGGATGCTGAAAGTGCAATCACATTATGTCCTTATAAGTAATCATGAAACATTTTCAGGACTCTAATATACTACCAAGCTTATTAATTTTATATTTATTGTTATAGGTAGGTTCCACCTTCAAAGAAAACATGTGTAGAAATTTTGATTTATTAAAAAGCAAACACACACACACACACACACACACACACACACACACACATGTGCTCTTATATGTCATGTGCATATAACACACATAAACACACCGACAGACCTGGAGAGGTGGAAGCTGAAGGGTTGTTTGAGCCCAAGAATTCAAGGCCAGGTTGGCCTCCCGTCAAAAAAAGAAAACAGGAGATGTTGTTGCTGTAGCTCTGTGGTTGCTCTTGACTAACTAGCTCTGGGTCTGATCCATAGTAATTTAAAAGAGAAAATCAAGTGTGTTCCATCTCAGAAGCATAGTAATTAGCATGTCCTTTCTTTAACTTAAGAGATCTCCTGGCTTGTCACTGCAAATTCGAGGTTGAGCTGGAAGGTGTTTTACTGACAGATTTCTCTTTCAAAGTAATTCTTCCCATCTGCTTGAGAACATTATCAGTCTTCGTGGCTAAGTGGTGAAGGCAGGTAGCAGTTGATTGCGGTTTTTGTTTTAATTTCTCAAGACGAAAATGCTAGGTACAGTTCTCATTTTGGCTCCCTCCAGCTAAAGCCCTCAGTGGTTCCCAGCTCTGTTTTTGTAAGCATTTCCTGAATGCTGCTTCTCCACCATATTCTGAGGCCCCATCTTTTGGTGTTGGGGATATAAACATGACTGTCCTGTGGCCTCTTTCCTCACAGAGCTCATAATTTAGGAAGGGAGACAGATGAGTAAATAACTAACTACAATCCTG